TGTCAGCACAGTTGATAACATGTAAACGTAACATCAGGATTAATTTTAAAGCAAAGTAAGATTTGATTAAACTCGATGACACCTCAGTTCATATTTACCTCTAACATCCAACAGTTTGTTACATAAAACAATCAGATTTAAAAAGTCAGTAAATAAAAACAATTGATACACAACAAATCCTATTTGCCTTTAAAATATCTTTTTAATTTTTCTTTTAGTTTGACAGAGTTTTTCTGGCAGTTTATGATATTTTAGATTTTTTTAATTGTGGGAATAAAGTCGTAGTTTAATATTCTACGAACTCCTGTCTTACCGCTGTGTTAAAATAAGGAATGTTGAGCTTTTTGTAAAGTTATACTTTGGTATCAGTATTATTCAACTCTATGGATTTAAAAACTAACTGGAGCCATAATGGCTGCATTGATGGATTTAGTCGTCGCATAATATGGATGGAAGCACATTACACCAACAGTGACTTCAAAAACAGTGACACTAACCTCTCATTTACACTGGATGCGGTTCTGCTGCACTCCGRTCCGACCTCCGCAGCAAATACACATCGATTATAATCAGTGAGAGTATTTACTCTGGCTCCACACGGCGGTCGGTGCAGGGCGGGGCGAGCAGACGGCGATCCACCAAAATTGGATTCGATCCTATTTTTGCCGGACGCCGGAGCTGCTCCAGAGTCARTCTGCAAAGGTCACATCGCACCAACAGGAAAAGGAACAAGCACATCATCTGTATTTTCAAAATAACTCACAAAAAGCAGAAAATATTTTGTTGAAATCCCAGCTATATTAATAAATATATGGATACATTTCTACACAAATGCTGTCAGAATGTATGGTTCTGTTTGTGAAGCAGATGGCAGCATGTAGCGTGYAGCACATGTTTACGCACATGATACATTTATTTTGAAATCAGAAGTTTCAAAAAGACGACAGCGATGCAGTTTCAGCTGTGTTTGGAGTCCGTCCACATTTATCACTGGATTTATCGCACAATTTCACATTTCTGCTCAGACCTCTGTGTTTCACACCGGAGCCGCAGTATACATGTGGAGCGGAACCACATGTAGTTTAAATTAGGGGTCATTGTCCACAGCAGTATCCACCCAAMCCAGAAACAGGAACTCATCGTGATTTAAAAGCAAATAATTTGTAGTCTGGCCCTAACACTCTGTTGTACTTTAGCAGAATAATCACATGAAGAGTCTTGGGATAAGAAACAGTTCCCATCCTCAGAACATTATGAATCAGGCTGAAGGCAGTCTGAGGAATTCTTCAGAGAAAATGTAATCCTGGGCTGTAATCCAATAATCTTACAACAAATATTTGCTCTTCTCCTAAGGCTGTTTTTTCCTTCACAGGCGACGAGTTAAAGCAGCAAATAAAGTCAAGGCTTTCAATAAACCACTGATAATAATGATATCAAATAGTATCACAGATAGAAAAAGAGCTTTGCCTCCTTTTATAAGAAAATATACAAAAAAAAAAAAAACACAGTAAAAGGTAAACAAAACTGATCTGGATTCAATGCAGGATTTACAGTCTGTATGTTGTAGACATCATGTGTTCTCCTCTGCAGGAACACCGGACCCCTTCTCCCAGTTGCACACGTGCCCCTACTGCTCTCGGGGCTACAAACGCAACGCCTCGCTGAAGGAACACATCAAGTATCGCCACGAGACGAGCGAGGACAACTACAGCTGCTCGCACTGCAGCTACACCTTCACCTACCGCTCGCAGCTGGAGAGGCACATGAGCCACCACCGGGGCAACAGGGAGCARATCAAACCCCAGAACCAGAAGGTGTCGACTCACACGTTTTAACAAGCCCTCAGGGCACCGACCTGACGCTGAAATCAGCTCTAATATTCCACCAGCTAATTTCACTGGCTAAGCTCTTTTAATTCAGAGTTTATTCATTGTACAGTTATTAAAGCAGAGGAAACTCCTGTTTCCCTTTATCTGGTTTCCTTCTCACTGATTCCCTTCAACCCAACCGTCTCTACATCAGGTCTTTGGTTTCTGTTGCATGAACCCTGCTCTCTTCTGTCTCAGCGCCACAGTTCCCAGTCGACAGCAGGATCAGGAGGAACCCGCAAGTTCAAGTGCACCGAATGCTCCAAGGCCTTCAAATACAAACACCATCTGAAAGAGCACCTGCGCATCCACAGCGGTGAGCTTCTCAAACTCCTCAAACCAGAGGTCTGCAGCCTTTACTACCAAAACAACCATTTCTGCTCCTTGGCTCACTAATAAAATGTGTCCAGAGCCGCAAAACATAAAGCAGTGATTATCAACTGGTGACCCGTAGTGGAGCGGGGATGACATTATACAGCTAATAATATACAGTGAATTTAAACATTTAATTATATTTTTACACTTGAGGATAAGAAAGACCATTTTCATATATCAAGAACAAAATACCTGAATAACATTATCTAATAAATTCATCATATTTCTTCTCAGCAGATTGTCTTACAGGTGATGGATTTGAGAAAATAAAATACTATTGAAGTGTTCAACAAACTAYTAGCAWGACCTAATCAACATGTTTCACTCCTTGGTTTAGTAGTTTTGAATATTTACGAACATAGTTTTGCACATAGCTTTTTCTTAAGTGGGTATTAAAAACAAACACAAAAAAAAATATCTGATGTAACTTTGGTGAAAGCTTTAAAGAGCCACAGTGCCCTGCCTCAAACAGTTTGTAGATAAGTTATTAATTCCTCCGTTCATCACCACTTCATTTTAGCTTGTAGGTCATTTATTTTTTCATCTGTTGGTTTGTTCCTTTGCATTAATATTCAGTTTTTTATTCAGCAGTCCAACTTTGAAAGGCTTCCATGTAGGAAGATCCCTCTGGCACCATATAATGTCAGGTTCTCTGTTCAACTGTTTTAAGGTGTTTCACATCTGACACATTTGGTCTGCTTTAAACAGACCAGAGTTTGTTTCCCCYGTTGGTCCGGACCTTTAATCCAGGTATGAATACCCTCATGTGAACCCTGGACCAAACAACCGCATCAAGACCACCTTAAMAAATGAGTCTCGGTCACTTCCAAATGCACTCTGGTTCAGTTTGCTTCTGMTGTGAATACAGACAGGCATCGAACCAAATCAACTACAGGAAACATGCGTCTTTTTTGGACTTCACAAGTCACTGTGGCTAAGCAACATTAGCCCTTCAGTGTTGCTAACGCTAACACTGCGCTACAAACAATGAGCCGTTGTGGGTCAGATAACACAGAGCATCTTGTCTCCTTTGGTTTGCAGCATGCATTTGACAACTCTGTCCCAAAATTAGAATGTTACTGCAGTTGAATTAACAGCTCTGCCCYGCCCCATCATTTCTGTCCAATGGGAGCAGTGATCGTCACCCATTTGGTTTTGTTTATAACAGTAGTCTGCTTGCAAAAAAAGCACAATGTAAATGCAAACAGCACCAGATGAGAAAAATAAAGTCCACTTTTAATCCAGACTAAACAACAGACCAAACTGTTTTCCAAGATAAAATCATTTTTTTATTTTAGATATGAAAACTGTAATTATTGATGCCAACTTAGATAAATAAAGTGGTTTTCTAAACTACTGGTATTTGATGCACAGCTGTCGAGTAAGCCCCGCCCACCTCATCCACTGTTAGCATCTGTGATGATGTGGAGGAGTAAAAATAAACGACTGAACAGCCAACAAAACAACTGCAACTGGAACTGTGTCGCAAGTTTTTACCAATATTTTTACAATAAATTAGTATAATTTAATAGTTGTAACTATTTATATGTGTAGTAAAATCTCTGATGAAGCAACTATTTTGAATCGGTTTGAATCCACRACTTAATCAGTTGAAAAAGTTCAACCAAGGATTACTTTGTGGATTGTTATTAGTTTGGTTGTTGTTTCTCCACCCACATATGTATCAGTGGGCGATAAGAAGTGATTGAATTAAACCGTATGACCCTTTACTTGTCCTGTGTGCCTTCCTGAGAAAACTTTTTGTAGTAAATTTGAGGCATTTAAACAAATTAAACAGAACTGGCAACATAAACCTTGTTTTGTTCTAAAACAGCATTTTTTTCTTTGGCTTTTCCAGGTGAGAAACCGTACGAATGCTCAAACTGCAAGAAGCGATTCTCCCACTCGGGCTCTTACAGCTCCCACATCAGTAGCAAGAAGTGTGTAGCCTCAGCACCCCCCAACGGAGTGAGCGTGACCGCCATTAAAACCTCCACTCCGATCACGCAAACGAAACATGTCCCGATAGCTCCCGCTCGAAAGATCCTGAAAGAAAAGACTGAAAGTAAACCCCTCCAGGAGCAGCTGCCCGTCACCCAGATCAAATCCGAACCTGTGGAATACGAGTGCAAGCCTGTGATGGCGACGCCAGCTGCTTCGACCGACAGTAAAGACGTCGGGAACGGAGGGGCGGYGCAGCCGGCGGTGGCCCAGGCCGCAGCCCTGCCTCAGGGCGTGGCGATGGTGGTGCCGACCGTCGGCCTGATGTCGCCGGTCAGCATCAATTTGAATGACCTGCAAAGTGTGCTGAAAGTGGCGATGGACGGGAACGTGCTCAGGCAGGTGCTGGGGTCAGCCAACGGGGTGGTGGCGCAGGGGAAGCAGGGGATTGTGGTTCAGCAGCCGCAGCAACAAATCCTCAGCCTGCCCGCGTTTGTGGATCACGACGGCACTACAAAAATAATCATCAACTACAGCATCGGCCCCGCGGCCGCCAACGCCGCCACCACCCTGCCCGCGCCTCTCGTTATCAAAAACAGCCCTCCTCCTGCACTTAAAGTCCTGACAACAGCTGCTGCGCCCCCCATCCCAACTAAAACCGATAAATGCCCAACCCCCGAGGCAACGGACCTCTCTGTCCGAAAAGAGCCAGGAGCAGAGCCCGTTAAAGACGAGGCGACGGAGCCAACAGAGAAATCCCTGGCATCCGCTGAGCTCTCCGAGTCAGCCCAGACACCCAAACCCAGCAGCTCCGGCTCCTGTCTGTTATGTGACGAGTGTCCGGACAACCTGGAGGCGCTGCACCTCCTCCAGCACCGCAAAGCAGCCAACGGGGAGCCGGTGGACTCCGCCTCTTTGGATCCATCATTCGCGGATCTGCTGAGCGAAGCAGGGGTGACGCTGGAGGAGCCGCCCGTCGAGGACCTCCTGTCGCTCCTCAAGACCTCCTTTGCCTCCAACGCCAACCCCAGTGACGAGGAGCTGAGCAAGATCTCCGAGTCCGTCAGTATTCCAGTGGAAGTGGTTCGAAAGTGGTTTATCAAGATGAACTTTGGGACAAAAGCTGATGAACGCCACAGTGAGGATATAGATGCTTCTGAAAAGACTGAAATCACTAACTGCAGCTCAGAAGACACTTTGAATCACAACGAAGAAGAAGAAGAAGTAGAAAAAGAAGAAGAGGCCACCCAAGAGGAAGCTAATAAAACTGTAACCGACAGAGCCTCCTCCACAGACTCACCATCCCTCAGTCTCACCAACGAGGATCTTGTTATCGTTAAAAGTGAGCCTGAAGACCCAGAGCCCATAGACTCCCAGGCAGAACCTTTGGACCTTTCTCTTCCCAAACAAATCACAGCACCGTCAGAAAGCGACCCTGCCCCGCTCACAAAGCAGCAGGACCGCCCCCTGAACCTGACCTGCTTGAGGAAGGAGCAGCTCGAGGGTCGCACCATCTACGTCACCACCCCTCAGGCCGGAAACCCCGTCAACATCGTCACTGCCGCACAGCTGCCCACTTTGGTGGCCATTGCTGGTCAGGGTACGGTGGGCTGCCTCAGTGCCATCAACACCACAACCAAACGCACCATCCTCATCCCCCAACTCACCTACACCTACGCCACTACAGCCAGCAACACCACTGGGGCCAAGACTGTGGTACTTAACGGCCACAAGGTTGGTTATGTTGCCATTTAAAGTTTAATCTGTTTGAACGGTGCTGATTCAGACATTTTCTCTCATGTCCAGCAGGAGAAACGTTCAGAGAGCAACACTGACGGGAATCTGACTGCAGAGGCGCAGGAGTCGAAGAGGCGGAGGATGGAAATCGGCGTCTATCCCTGTGATTTGTGCTCCAAGGTCTTCCAGAAGGGCAGCTCGCTGCTCAGACACAAATATGAACACACAGGTATTTCTTAAGGATGACCCTATCTTAACACACACACACACACAGTGTGTATATATACTATATACACTCTATAGCTCTGACTGGAGCGGTTCACAGCTGAGTGTAAAGCAGCTAAGATGAGGATCTGGGTCCTTGGTCAGAAAAAGTTTGAC